GGCGCCCGGCGCGCTCACACACGCTCTCACACGCGCGCAACGCGCACTCGCGCGCACCCCGCGCCTCTCTGACATTCCTCACGCTTTTGCCTTTTTTCACCCAGACGGAAGAAGTTAGCGGTGCCCCCGAGTTCGAAAAAAAAAAAAAAAAAGAAAAACAAAAAATCACAGCAGTAATAAATTAGGGAAAAAAAAAAAAAAAAGGCCTGGCGCTTCCGAGCTTCCCGACCCGCCTCGGGAGAGTGGGGCCGTGAGGTGCCCGCAGTTTCGTTCGCCTCCCCCTTGCTCTTTTACTTTAAAAGATGAAAGAAGGAATGTCCTTTTTCACTGCTTCTTCTCTAGAGCTGCTGCCGCTGCTGCTGGTTAATTGCACATTCAAGTGGAAAATTTTCGGGAGTCAGCAGAAACATTGTATCCAAAAAAGACAAAGTCGCAGTTACAGCAACACCGAGGAGATTGTCCCTGGAAAACTTCCTTTCGGTAGGAACCATAGGGTTATTTATTTATCCGTAACGTTTTACAGAGATCTATTCCACAGATGTCCAGAGCGCTGATGTGGAGGGCCGGTTGCAGCCTTTGTTCCCAGAAGGAGCGTTTTCAAAGGAAGTACACTTCTGGGGGGAGGGAAAAGTTATACAGTGCCGCTTTTGTAGCGCGGCTCAAGCAGCGCGGCCCTCCAAACAACTAAACAAAAATAATGGAGAGAGGCAAAGCAAAACGGGGAGGGGGAACCCGTGCTCTCCTCAGCCCGTACAAAAGTCCGCGCTCCTACCTCTGCTGAACGTAATGCTGCGCGTGATTGTGCTCCTCTTGAAATCTGGTTTAAGTTGAATGGTGTTACAGTATAAAAATATTTATGAAACAATGAAATACCAGCCACCCATGTTTCTCAGGAGAGTTGTTAACTTATTAGAAACAAGTGCCTGCCTTTGATAGGAAGAAATGAAAAGTGACCTCCAGAAGTGCTGGAAAGTTAGGGAGCAGTTGTGTTCTGCATTTTCTGAATGAAAATGGATCCCTATATATATATCTAACGCATATATACACTCATATGCATTATATTTATGTATAATTAAAAAAACCTTCTTCATTATCAAACACTGTCTGGGAAAGAAGCTCCAAGAAACATCAGATTGTGCAGGCGTTTTCTGGTGTAAAGTGTTTTGTATAAGAAAGTAAGCTGAAATGGCAGAGCCCCAGGGAAAAAAAGTAACCGTGCAGCTGTATTGCTCTAATAAACGTATTTGCTTCCCTTAATGTTGATAAAATTTGGAAACACATTATTGTTAGTTACCAGTTTTGGAGAGATATCTAGATAAAGGCAGAGTGTGGAGATGTACAGATAAAATACTGTATTTGGTAATTGCACGTTCAGTTATTAGGCAGTGCATCCAGGATGGAAATCTCTGTGGGAATGCCCCTTATTGGAAAAATCAAAGCACTACGTGCAATTGAATATGAAGCAAAACAATTACAAAATGATTATAATAACATTAGGGCTTAACTTTAAATTATATGGGACTCGCCATATATCCCTACGTTGGGAATGTGTGTCTGTAGGATATGGTGTATTCTATTGCTATAAATAGTTGGGGAATACCATTGCAAGTATATTGGATTGTACTAGTGGTAAGATCGTGCTATCAAAAACAACACAGAAGTGGATATTAAATTTCTCACTTGGAGGAGGAGGGAAAGCTAGCATGTTTGTAAGTTTGTATATTAAGCATGTATGCACACTTTATTTGGAAGAGAAATATAGGAATTATTACAGCGCATGTTCTTAGAGTGTGAATTGAAGATTTTATGTGTGGGTCACATTGGTAACTTGCATCGATTTAAAATCAAATTTTTCAAATAATTTTGGTTTAAAGGTCAACTTTTTTGAGATGCTTTTCTTTTTCACCTCTGCAGTAAAATGCACACACTATGCTGTGCAGATTTCGAGTTAGTCATGGTGTATTTTCTGTACCAGTAGGGATCTGCATTTTGTTTGATTCAGGTTTATATCAGCAGATCTGATCAAGCAGAAATTTTGGATGCAAATCATTTGTCTCTGTTTTTCAACTTAGTAATCTAGAAATACCTACTTCGCTGATAAACACATATTAAGAGTATTTTGAACATCTATCTTAAATATGCTGTTTTGGTGAGGTAAATATTACTATTTTTTTACACCTGGAAGAGTGTAACAACAGCTTTTAAGATTCAAATTACTGTTTTATATTCTCTATAGTTATTCAGTTATAGTGCTGAGTGGGATGTACACGAGCACTGAAGCAGAGAAAAATTGTGGTTTGACTTGAACCTTAGTGAAGACAGCCTCTGCTTAAAGGGGTTTAATTAAACAGCTGAAAAAAGGACAACTATACTTAATTGTGAGCTAGACCCGCCGTGAATTTCCAGCCAAGGAACGATAGTCGTGATGTGTGTGTATGTGTGAGCATGCGTGTAACATGTTTGGTATAATTTGTAACTAGCATTTCTTTTTGTTGTTACTGTTGTTGCTGGACAGTGTAGTGGTTTTGGGTATTGCTAAGTGGTTTTTAGGCTTTGTTTACGACTGAAAACTTCAGGCTGAGTAAAGTCAAATGCAGAGGAAGAAAGAACTCTTGCTTCTTTCTTTTTAAACTACCTCTGTAGATAAAATTGTAAACAGTCTTTCCAGATAAAATATAAGGAAAAGTGTAACATAGACCTCTGAATCTACAGAAATAATGGGGTGTAAGCAAAGAATCTTTTGCTTAACAAAAAGTGAAAGGTAAAAATAGCTATGTATTGTGATATAACTCACAGTGCCCAATCTATGAAGTAGGGTGGTTACACAGTTGGAACAATTTCAGTAGACATAATCTGATTTTATTGGAAGGTGCCTAAGGTTGTTCTCAAAACATGATCTTGCATACGGTTTTGAATGTGTGTGTTTGTGAAAAGATTGCCTTCAAACACTGCATTCCGAGTGTATGACTTCTGACTGCACACACGTGCGTGCCCACGCGCTGCTTATTAATATGTTATTTTGTCTTGGCATTAATATTAATGTTTTATCTTTCGAGAGTTGGTAAAAACCGGCACTGCATTTCTCAAATTATTCTATTTAGGAGAAGGGGGTGGGGGGTGGGGAAAGATTTGTTAGAGCCAGTTCTTGCTCAGGTTAAAGTGATGAGGATGACTCATGTACATAAACATTTGCTGGATCAAATACTAAGATATTTACAGCATATGCTTTATATACATATTTAGTATGGTACTTGATGTCTAACAGAAGGAAATGGGTGCTGCTCTGTGTGCATCTTTTATTAAGAAAAGAATATCAAATTTGATACATTAGTTTTTTTTTTTTTTCAAATTTTTGTGTTCAGCTTTGCTCATAATTTAAACTTGCAGGCAAAATTCTATTAAAAGTTGGCCGCTCCCTCCATTTGTGCTCTTATCCACACCCTGTGCAGATTCAAGGTGAGGGCTGAATCCTCACCTTGAGGATGTGGGTTTTGCTCTTGATCCCCCACCCTGCCCCGCTTCTCCTGGTGTAAATTCAGGTTAATTTCATTTACTTCCTGCTGACCTATTCTGTACAGCTATACTATATTGCTCTAGTGAGGATGTAAATTGGCCCTTAAATATTATTTTAGAATGCCCAGGTCTTTAGAGGACCTATGTTCAGTATGAGAAAAGTAATATTTATTTAGTTCTGGGATTTGAGATTTAATTAGTATATTGTCATTTTGCAGCACTATGCTATTAATGCCTGCTTCAAGTAGGAGTGTTTTATATTCCTAAACTACAGTCATTTATTATTAAAAAATGTTAAGTGAGTCTCAACTAACTTTTAGAACCTAGAAGAGATAATTTACCTAGAAGAGGTAAATTATCTCCCTAGTGGAGACTGCTGCTAGAGATTTCATGGCAATGTATACAAGTACTGTAAAACTTAAATTATATCCTGTGATATATGACCAGATTAATGACATTATTTATTGTGAAGCCAACTTACTCTAAGCCACACTGAAGACACTTTTAGAAGAAAAATCTCTGCAATAAATTCCTGCTTTACAGCCATATCTTGCCCTCTGTTCTTGCACAAAACTCCTTTTGACTTTTGCAAGTGGAACAAGGATGGAATAATATTTCCTGGAATAATTTTGTGTTTGGTTTTAATGATTGCTCATTTCCAAAACACAGGAGAGTGAAAAGTTGCAGACCTCAATCCTTTGAGGCACCAGCTTTAAATCTGTTCCTTGGATTTGTTATATTAAAATTCAACTAGAACTTTTCTGATTTTGTACTCCTGACCTCTCTTGATTTTTTTTTTCTTGTTTTCTCTGTGAAATTCTGATCCTATTGCAATCCCCATGAGTTTTGCCTTGTTATTAATACACCCCAAATTTCACCATCTGTGTTGATGCAGGTTCAGTAACTTTGGGGCTGTTTCAGGTTATTAAAGTTCTCCCAGAAATAAATTAATTTTAAAATACGAGGAAAGAAGGGAGAGCTTTCTAACAAGCTTGTGTCAAAATCTGTTTTCTAACAACTAATTTGAAGTATCTTGTATGGGAAGCCTGTGAATGCCTTGCAGAGCAGCTCATCATGTGCTATATGCACTTATTTGTTACATGAATTTGTGTCGGTGCCTTAGTAACACTCTGAAAACCCATTCTGTGTGTAAAGCATAGCAGAAGCTTGCCATTTGGAGACGACAACAGACCCCTTTTCCAGGCTTTCCAGCTTGTGCACAGGTTTCTCCAAGGCGGCCCATTTTGTTTTGGCACCAGTCCAGTAAAGGTATCACCTACAACTTCTTGTTCTTTGTCTTCTAGTCATTGTTTACTGGAACAGCGTGATTACTACGTCCACATCCTGTCGTACGTTTCCACATGGCCTTCTTAGATTTCTAACTCTTATTAGCTCTTCATTAAACTTTTGAATCTGACATAGTCTGTGTGGTAGCAGAAGAATATGACTGCAAAAAGGGAGTTTTGCTAGCGGGTCAGAAGGTAGAACTGGGAATCTCTGAGTGCTGGGGGCAGGGGAGGAAAGTTGAGGATTATGTGTAAAACTATTAAAATGCTATTGACTGGGAATCTAAAACAATGACGAGTGCTGTTGTTTTTACAGATACATAAACTGAAAACTGCTGCTAATGATGGGAAATGTTAATTATGTGAGAACATATTGAACTTATATTCTCTGGCATGAACTTTTTTAAATGCATCAACTGTGCTGCCTTTTATGCGCACAGCTTTCTAATTATCATAATTCAGTACAGCTCTGGCTTTTGGAAAGAGTTCAAGTGCAATCTCAACTTAACATGAAAGGAGCTCTTTTTTTTAACGAGAATGTTCAAGAACAATTTGAAAAGATAATCTAAAAATGCTACATACTTAACTGGGTAAAAGTCAGAAAATAAATATGTTCCCATAACTGCCTATCAAAGCAGAACAGATTATTAGAGCAGAAAGTTACCTATTTTTCTCATTACA